TGTGGGAGATAAGATCCCCTACCCACAGCGTTGGCTCGAGCTGACAGGCTGAAGACCGGAGAACGAGCAGGAGGGGAGGATCCAAACTGTAAGTAAACTTATTTTGTGAGTGAGTGACTGAATGTGGTTGAGTGACTGAATGTGGGTGAGTGATTGTGTGTGGGTTAGTGAGTAACTAAATGTGGGTTAGTGAGTGACTGAGGGTGGGTGGCTGTGTGTGTGTGTGTGTGTGTGTGAGGGTTAGTGACTGAGTGTGGGTTAGTGAGTGACTGAGTGGGTGGGTGAGTGATTGTGATTAAGTGGGTGACTGAGTGTGGATGAGTGACTTAGTGTGGGTGGGTAAGTGACTGACTAAGTGTGGGTGGGTGAGAGTGAGTGAGTGTGGGAGAGTGAGTGAGTGTGGGTGGATGAGTGTGGGTTGGTGGGTGGGTGAGTTAGTGTGGGTTAGTAACTATCCATCCATGTATCCCTCCCTATCTATCTATCCATCTATCCATCTATCCATCCATCCGATGGATAGGGAGGGATGGAGGGAACACCTGGGTAAATTGTTCAGCTAAGTCTATGAATGGTATTTACGATAGGCAAACAATCCACATGTGAATGAAAATCTAACCGAGTTAAAACTAAGATTGTATTCATTAAGATTCTGGAAAAAAAATCTGTCTTTAAATTATAATAACCCATATGCTGATTATTCATATGATTCTTTATGATTTGACAAATAGTGACATACTATTTGCTGATTGTCTCAATCAGATATGTTTTAAACTATTCCATATACTAACCCCGTTGATTGATAATATCATGGACTAACAATCCCATCACTCAAACATTGTTTGAAATTGCCTTGTTGTGATTGTAATACTATACTATGCCATATTTTCTTCATTATTATTGAGAACTATTCACTAATTATCATGTATGTTTACACCTATTGACAAAATAAATATTATAATTTTGATAATCCATCTATCCCACCCTCCCCCCATAAATATCCTCACACTTCTCCTCTCCAGATCTCCTTTCCCACCATCCTGGCCTGAGTAGTCTGTCACCCCAGTCTCGGATTACATATCATTCAGTGGGAGTGTCTCATTACCTACAGATATCACTTTTATCTCATGAAATACCAATGAATTATCAGTGATGTCAAAATTTCAAGTATCTGCCAAATCTTGCCCTTGAAAGTGTTAACAATTAACAGCAGTTATTAGAGAAAAATAAATCAAAACATACTTTGCAATGAAAAATGTGATTAATAATGAGTAATGCACATTCGTTCCCAATCAAAAGGGACATTTAGAATAGGTATAGCGAAAGCAAGCCTGACTTGCAATACCGTTTTATCATCTTTTGTTTATAGAAGAAAATGCAGGGTGTGCGGTAGTCATTATTAACATGTGCTCACAGAGAGCTTAGTTAACAAGCAATGTATGCATTAGCTATAGTTCAGTGTTAGGCAGTAAATATCAATGCCCCATAAAATAAGTTGGTACAGTGAAATATGAGATGTCTGTTTGGGGAAGTAATGAAGAGAGAAACTTTAATTTACCAAATTGGCTTGCATTTTAAGTATCTAATTTACAATAAAAAATGAATAATTTGGCTTAAACATATCTTGCATAATTAAATAGCTTTTGTTCTTGTATTGTGTGAAAAAAAGTGGTAGTTGTAATAAAGTAAAGTTTCTAGTGAAATTGAAGATATTAAGTGAGAACATATTCAAGGGTAAATATGCTGTAAGGAACAGGATAATTGTAGATTATGCTAACGCAGTGTACCTATAATCTTAATTTTATTAAGGACAGGAGGCGAGTATTTTGCATAATCTCTCTTTACTAAAACTCCAGCAGCACAGATTTAATAATAAAGTTTAGTGAAAAACAAAACAAAACATTGCAACAGGGTATAAAAGGCCTGTATCACTTCCTCTTTCTTTGATGCGATATAACCATAAACACATCCTGTAAATACAATAAACAACGATAACAATGAAGATTTGGATTGCAAACGATCCGAATCCCGAATGGATGATTGTCATAGAGTGTGAAGACGATCCCATGTATCGATCCATGAAGAAGAATCAAACTGAAAAGAAACAAAAGACGTGAAAGGGACTTGAAAATGAACTGTTCATCATTATTATTATCATCATTATTATATTGCTATTTATATAGCGCCAGCTTATTCTGCAGCGCTTCACAAAAATAGGGGAATTTACCAAATGAGATAATAACCTTTTTGTAACAGGAATAATAGGTAGTTGAGGGTAAATACATTTATATATATATAGTCAAATTGTATGTAATAAGTAATCATAACGGATAATAATCGCAATCTCAAGATGTGTGATATAAAATAAACCACATAATAATGAAATAAACACACACCCCTGAATTGAAATCTTTACTGAAGTACAAACCAATGAATCATATAAAACAGGGAGGGGAAGGAAAAAAGGGTGGGAAAATACTTGCCTCCTGTCCTTAATAAAATTAAAATTATAGGTACACTGCGTTAGCATAATCTACAATTTTATAACATGACAGGAGGCTTTGTATTTTGCATTTTTAAAGCTGTGGATGAAGAGCAAAAGAAGCATGAGAAACCTGACGGATGTACTCTCTAGTCCAGTCTGTGGATCGCAATATGTCGGTAGACGAAGCACCCAACGGAAAGACATTTGATGTGGTTGCTCCCTGAACCGAGTAAGCGCCAAAACAAGAGTCTACACCCGCTAGGGATATCCGCCAGCAAAAGAGAAAATAAGAGGTCCTGACTAAGGTGTCCATAGAGGAGCAGTACACTCCACCTATCCTAGTAAAGTGTTTCATGCAGAAGTGGTAAACAGTCCGAAAAACGGAATATGAGATGGAGAAAGTTCCATTTTAGTCCGACGCGAGATAGAAAATACATTCCTTCCAGAATGAAGGAAAAAACGTCTATGCCGACGCTGGATTGTCCGCAATCAATCGAAAGAAAAGGACACAAAAGTGTAAGTATCGCCGAGAGTTGGCGCAAATACAATTTCGTATTGTCTTGCCATACACAACGAAAATTTAACACTAGATCCATGTCCCACATACGCAAGTATTTGGGAGCTGGTGGTCTAGACAGACGAATCCCCCTAGAAAGTGACAGACCAGAGGGTTCTGACCTATAAGAGTCCCCTGTAGGGGACATGATCCGCCAAGATAGCCGGATGTGTACGACTTTCCTAACCCAAAGGGGATGGGATAAGAAATTTAGCACGCCAGGTGCCATAAGGGGATCGAGGTCCCTTTCCATACATCAATTACTCCATCCTGTCCATGTGGAGTCATGGCTCCCTCTATTTCCTGGGGCCCCAAGCCACTAGGTCCAAGTGTCTTTGGAGGACCAGTGGATGCAATTCCCTTTGGATGTTCGTCAATAGATGCAATAAGAATTATAGCAGGAGGGGTGATCCTGAGATCTTTCCAGTAAATCCGGACATCATGCTTGACTCTGCCATCAGGGAGTGACGAATAACAGAGTGAGCTTGTGGATCCGCAAGTGATGAAGGACTCTAACCAATCTGGAGGACAGAGGATGAGCATAGGCTCCTTGGAACGTCCAATTCCGAAGTAAAAGCAGCCACTGCCTCGTACTCCGGATCCGGAAGCCAGCTGAAATAGCTCTGTAATTGCTTGTTGGACCGGGATGCAAATTGTTCAACTGGAGCAGACCCCACAGTTTCCACAGTGTGCGGAATATTGAGACGTTCCGTCTCCATCCATTGACGTCCCTCCAGAGTCAAGAAACCCAGTCCGCCCATAAGTTGTCAAATCCTGGTAAGCATACTGCACGTAGAGTGGTGTTGCGAGGCAGGCAGAATCGGTACATGTCCGTTGTCGCCTCTGAGTTCCCGGGATCATGCTCTGCCCAAGCGGCTTATGTATCAAACCATCGATATGTAGCCATTCCATGCCTGCATGTGAAGTAATCACCAATGCAGTTCTGGTATCCAATTGCCGTAAGCGTGACCTGTCCGCAGATAATGGGCTTACATTCAGTGCATAATTTTGTAGTGTAGTAGACCTGGAAAATCACCTGGATGGATGAGGACAGAAGTCCCACCACACGAGTCCTTGCACAGGGTATGCCTGATTTCTCAGTGAATGGCTTTCCTTTTATTGTGTAGGGTAAGAGGACACATTTGGTCAACTCGATCTTGACTCCCGGGAATTATATCACCTGAGGTGGTGTTAGAGTTGATGACCACTTGCTTACGATGATTCCCCGTGATTCCAGAAGGTATATTATCAATTCCTTCTTTGAGCGCAGTCTGGAGATGGAAACGCAAAGGAATAATATGTCGTCCAGATTAGACAACGGGCCCTTGTGATCGTCAATTAACCGTTACCGGTTTCAGAAGTATAGGGATCATCAATGATGTCCGTGGGTTTCCACCATTCGTAATGGATAAGGAAATCCTACCAGCGAGGGTGGAGAGTGGAAGCCTATAACGTATTCCTGAACGGTCCGTTGGATCCAACTGTGTGTTGAATGTGGTGAAGAGAGTCACATGCTCAAGTTCAGCGATAAAGGTTCGGCAAATAATAATCCAGTTGCCAATGGTCTTATTGCTCTCTTCCCTAGATCTGAGAGCTTGCTGTCAATTTCTTTGAAGATCTTGGGTGTCGTGGGGCCCGTGGGTGTAATGGGGGTAAACCCATGTGTGTGTCGCTGAAGACATTTTAATCATATAATGTGGCCACGGGCGGTTGGTAACGATATAACGTGGGTATTCCTGTCACTTGAGTATGTAAACACATAAACATAGGCACTCCAGTATGTGGGGGGTCACCCCAGTAGCAGTAAGGTGGTCACCCTTAATGCAAAGTATTCACTGGTGGCTGGTAATGATATCATGTGGGTATTCCTGTTAAGGTGTCATATGGTATATTTAAATAAATATATATATATATATATTATTGAATTCTGCTCAATGCAGTCCCAAAATTGTTGTGGCATAGAGAAAGGGGGTTCCCCACACACATATATATATATATATATATATATATATATATATATGTGTGTGGGGACCCCCCTTTCTCTATATATATATATGGCCTTGGTAAGGCGTGGGGGGGGGGGTCACTCCAGCCATAAGGGGGGTCACCCCTATAGAATGTTCGCACTGAGGGGTCTGTACAAGTCTTGCTTACTTCAAACATTTTTAACTCCTGCTCTGTTAATTGAAGTAAAATCACACATGAGGCTCCTGCTGCCACTACCAGATAATTAACCCCTTAATTACAGGGTACAAGGTACGTCAGCCAAAAAACGGTCGTTAACCTCTTAAGGTATTAAACGATGTCTCGCTATCGAGGCATCGTGGAGTACCCCAATACACTGCCGGGCACCAGAGTAATCGCTCCCCCCGGAGCGATCACTTCCGGGTTTGCCGCACGTGGCGCCTGGCAGTGTAGGTAAGAGCATTGGAAGCCTTTAGCAGGCTTCCGATGATCTTATCTTACTAAGTGCCTGGAGGGGCTAAGGCACTCAGCAATAGTAAAATTAAGATGAATAAAAAATAAAAATGTAAATAAAAAAAAAAATTGACCCTTATTACCCTTCCTCTCCCTCCCCATGTACTTACCGATCGCCGCTGTTCCCCCGACGGCGATCGGTCTTCTTCTGAGGGGGGATTCTCTAGACTGAGCCTAGAGAGCTCCTACTTCTCCAATTTAGGACCCCCAGGGCCATGTGACCGCTTACAGGCAGTCCTCCTGCTGGTAAAAAAATAAATAAAAGTAAAATTAATAAATTAAAATATATATATATAGTACACAAGATCCAGCGCACTTACCTATCCACTAAACAGAAACATTAATGTTGACAGATTTTTAAAACACCTAATCTAGGCAAAAATAATGGGGGTTTAGTTAAATTAAATGATCATACATTGCATAAGCCTGCCACAATGTCAATGTACCCCATCTTTGGCACGTCCTACTCTAACAGCCTAATGTCTGCTCTTATGAGACTAATCCACTTACTTGGGGAAATAATTCCATCTGGGGCTCTCTGCAGTACAAGGCTAAATAGGGCCATGGGATGAGGCACCTGTGACAGGGAGGGGTGCAAAACCAAGGAGCTGGCTAGACTCCCAAATATATACCCCTCCCTGTCACAGGTAGAGTTAAAGCATGTGGGGGATAGGAATAAGGCTATCCTAGACTTAAGATAAGGCCAGGGACTAATTAAAAGTATTTTGAAATATTGGGCAGACTAGATGGGCCGAATGGTTCTTATCTGCCGTCACAGTGTATGTTTCTACACACGCATTTTTTTTTTATATATATATATATATATATATATACACAAACACATTTATAAAAAAACTAATAAAAACGCTAACTTTGGACAGCATTTGTGACTAAGTGACTACTACACAAGACTGGACATACCCCATTTGGAATACCCTGGGATGTCTACATTTGAAAATGGTATGCAATGATTGGGTTATTTCGCATTTCTAGGCTACTATATATGGTCTCAAAGGACAACACAGACCCAGCAAACCAATCTGGCAAACTGAATTGGGCAAGCCCTATATTGACCCTGTAACTTTCCAAAACACCATAAAATCTGTACATGGGCGGTATTGTTATACTCAGGAGACTTTGCTGAACACAAATATGAGTGTTTAAAACAGTAAAACCTATCACAACGATGAAATCACCAGTAAAAGTGCAGTTTTTGTATAAAATAAATGTAAAAAACAAATATGAACTCTAACTTTGGCAAGCGTTTGTTGCTAAGTGGCTACTACAAAATACTGGACATACCCCATTTCGAATACTGTGGGTTTTCTACTTTTACAAATTGTATGCCATGATGGGGTTAATTTTCATTCCTGGGCTGCTATCTCAAATGCAAAACATAGGCCAGGCAAACCAATCTGGCAAATTTCAATGTGCAAACATGGAAAAAGGGAAAGCCCGACATTTGACCCCTGTAAGTTTGCAAAAACCAATAAGACCTGTACATTGAGGGCACTGTTGTACTTGCGAAATGTTGCTGAACACATATTGGGGTGTTCTTTGGCAGTAATACATAACAGGAGCTGAGAATCCATGCCTAAAGTACAATGTGTGTGAAAAATTACCCAAAAGGTTGGCAAAGACTGGTGGTAGAATTAGTGCATGGAAAGTGTTAAAATACCACCATCTGAAATACCCTAGGGTGTCTACTTTTCAAAATGATATGGTTTGATGGGGGGTAAATTACATTGGCCAGCTGCAAAAATGTCCCAAATAGGACAAGGGTGCATGATGACCAGCTGCGAAAATTCCAAGTTGGAAAACTCTAATGTGCACCCTCAAAATAAGGTATTTTGCCCCAAAAGAACCTGACACACCTATACATGGTGGGTATCCCTGTACTCAGGAGATGTTGCAGAACACTTATTGGGGTCTTCTTTGGTAGTAACTCTTAAAGTTCTCCGTACGTGTATTCTTAAATTGTTATGTGTGTCAAAAAAAAATCACAAATTATTATTTATTTTTTTTATTTGGCATAGATTGGTGGTAAAATGGTTGCACGAAAAGAGTCAAAATACCCAAGTTTAATAGCTTAGGTTGACCTCTTTTAAAAAATATATACATGTGAAGGATTATTTAGGGATTCCTGACAGATATCCGTGTTACAATGTAACTTTTAATGTTAATTTTGAAAAAAAGTGGTTTGGAAATAGCAAAGTGCTACTTGTACTTTTTGCCCTATAACTTTCCAAAAAAAGCTAAGAACATGTTCACATTGGGTATTTCTAAACTTAGGACAAAATTTTTAAACTATTTAGCATGGGTGTTTTTTGGCGGTTGTAGCTGTAACAAATTTTGGGGGTCAAAGTTTGAAAAAGTGTGGGTTTTTTTAAATCATCTTTTTTTTTGTAGTAAATGATATATGATGAAAATAATTGTATCTTTAGAAAGACCATTTAATAATGAGAAAAACCGTATATAATATGTGTGGGTACAGTAAATGAGTAAGAGGAAAATGACAGCTAAATACAAGCACTGCAGAAATGAAAAAAAACTGCCAAACGGTAAGAAAATTGAAAAGTGGTCTGGTCACTAAGGGGTTAAGAGAGTGAACAATAAGAAATTATAAGTTACACACACTGAGCCATAAGGGAAGTTTAAAACTTTTGACCATATCGTGTCCTTTAACAATACCACAAAGCAATACATTTAAAGACCGGACAAATTAAGTAATTCTCCCTCTTCTTTATGTAAGAAAAACGGATGTGTAACCTAAAGGTGCAATTTACATATAAATCCATTGGTAGAGCTGTAAAAGGTGTGAATAAAGAAGTGCTTTGAGGTGGTGATATAGTTTTGCTCTGCTGCAGAGTTGCCCTTGGACATTTGGAATAGTGCAGTTCTTCAGCTGATTATTCTTGAGCTGATTGAAAGTAGCAGGAAACGTATGTTGACAGAATACAGCAGGCATGAAATATCCCCAGCCTTTGCTAGGTCAGCACAGTATGAGTTTATGCTTGGGTAGGTGGTCCAAGATTTCAATGCACAGGTCTGGCCCTTCCTTCTGGCATAATGTATCTTGTACCAATTGGCTGGTAGACTATGATGAGTACTTATTTTGTTTGCAAAACTGTAATGATACATGTCAGTCAGAACTTCATTGATGAAAATCAAGCTATAGTAAACAGAGACTATCAGGGTTATTCACTAAAGGAATGTGAAATAGCAGGATTGCAAAGTAAATTTCAAATTTAAGGTCAACATAGCCAAGATGAAAATGGACATTTTTTTTTATATTTTAACTATTATGACCTATATTTTGAAATTAACTTTGAATTCCCAGCAATTAGTGAAAAATTTTAAGAATTCAAAACGAAAAATTTGAAGGGACACTGTAGTCACCAAACCAACTTTAGCTTAATGAAGCAGTTTTGGTTTTTAGATCATGCCTTTGAACTGTCATTGCCAAAATTCTCTGCCATTTGGGAGTTAAATCACTTTTGTTTCTGTTTTTTTTCAGCCCTAACCACACCTCCTCTGGCTGTCACTGACAGCCTGCATGAAAACAAAATGGTTTCATTTTCAATCAGATGTAAATTACTTTATAAGTTTGTATCTCCTGTTCTGTAAATCTATATTTAATTACATACAGGAGGCTCCTGCAGGGTCTAGCAAGCCTGCCCTCCCTTGAAAATGCAATTGTTTATTCAGGATTCGGGAGGTACTCAGGGCAAAATATTATTTTTTTTTAATTATTTTTTCTTTTTTTCTTTTTTATATTCAGTAGACTTAATGTTGTCAAAGGAAGAGGAACCGATTATAGTTTTTTTTTTGTTTTTTTTTACAGTGTTGATTAAAAAAAAAAAATGTAATGAACAGGTCAGTAGAGGTTTTTAATTTAAAATAGTTAAGCTCGGAGGATGTGTTTAAGCAGATAAAGTAGTGGCATTAACTGGGTTCACAGTATTTGTAAAATTACAATGCAAATTAGGCTCCTCTGGGTATACTTTATTGAATTACAACCAATTAATAGTTTTTCAGTTCAAGTCAAAGTCGGTTCAGCACTATTCTTGTTGACTTTCTTGAATGAAACCTTTTTAAGCTTAGTTTTGTTTTTGTTTGAAAGTTAATTAAACTCCTGTCTTATTTAAATTGTATATGTCCAGATTACATTACATGTAGCCTTATGTTAAAGTAACTAGCTTTTGCAATTTTTTTAAGCCCCATATTATTAACAGAATTGTGGTTCATACAGTGTGTTATCTGTTAAATTTAAAAAAAAAAAAACTGTTCCTCCCTGAGTTTAAAGATGTCTTATTCTAAATGTATGACAGTACTAGCATTGAGAGATTATGACTTGTAGCCTGTTAAACTACTACATTCAGTATTATTGTCCGGTTTATGATGTTACGTTGCAATTGAGTTATTCAGAAAGAACACAACTCTCTAGTTCTAGTATATATTTGACAAGTTATCACATCTTAAGACTTGACAAGAGTTTTACAAATTTATGCATTATTACAAAAAACTACTTTAGCAATATAATCCTTAAAGATGGACATTCTTT